TCTGGCAGACAGACTTCATAGGCTGGTTCTCCCTGCCCCACCCTGCTTCCCCTGTCCTGGGGATTGAATTAAGGCCTTAACACTGTGCTCTTGGTTTTTATGCAGCAACTAGGAACCAAAGACAGGCTGCCTAGGACGGGAGGATTGCCCAAGGTCGAGGGTAGAACTTGAAAGCGTTCTACATCTGCTTGGCTTCTCCTCCTTTATTACCCACTCCCCGTTTTCTGTGGTCTTCCAGCCCTTCTTAATTTCACCGGTAGCAGCAGCGGGAGCCAAGTGGGACCTTCCCACACCTGTTTCCTAATTCCAAACTAGGATCCAGGATTGTATATCCTGAAGTCCCAAATAACAAATGCTGAAAAACCACAGCAGAATTTCTTTAGGACCCCAAACGGGTTACTAGTGTGCGCTAAGGCAGTAGCCCTGGTGACACTGGGAGTTTTCCCTCTCCTTTGTACAAGGGCACTGCCACATGTCCATGGCGGAGGCTGCACCCAGATCTGGAACACCCGTGGGGCTCCCCACACTAAAGGGCATGGCAGACCACACAGAACCCTTCCTCCCATCCCCATCGGCCCCAGAAGTCATGGGATGCCCTTCCCTTTGAAGAACTGGCTGAACGCTCACCTTTGGATTTTAACGCTGTTTCTTTCCTGTTGCTTATTGTTGACGACTTGACTGGATGAAAGCAGTTTTTATTTTCAAGAAAAAGGTTTTAGGAACATGATTCAAGTTGATATGCCCTCACACGACATTTGCTTTTCATTTCTGATAAAGAGGCGCAATTTTTTGAAAAAGAATTCGTTAAAGCACATAATTAGCTGGAAGGTAGAAGCACTAGAGGCTTTATTCCTGGAAACCCACCCTGCCTTACACCCCTGAGCAGTGGCAAATCTTCACACTAAGCCTTGGGTTTTCCTAATCAGGGTGCCACTGGTCCTCAGAGACTCGGGGGACGTGGGGAGAATAATATCATCACTTTCTGCAAATGGAGCCAGAAAATCTGCCTCAAGCCAACTCTCCATTTTGAGCCATTTCATATTTCATGTTTCCCAGTCCTTCCCAGCCTCTTCCAGTTGGAGATGCTACAGGAGAGGCACAGGGCATGTCTCGCCTCTCTCGTTAGCTCTGAGGGCTCCGTTCCAAGGCAAGGACATGGCTGGTCTTGGAATTAACCCAGCCATCCTCCTGGGGCAGGTGTTGTCTGGTAAACAGAGCTGCTTACCAACACTGTGAACGCACTGACAAGACTGATGGACAGGAAGTGATGGAGGTGGCCTGGTGGCCAGCCCTAAATGAGATTTTAGGTGGGGATGGGAGGACAGTGACATCCTGGGCAAGGTTCTCTATAGGGGACAAAGTGGGGTGGAGTGGAGCCAGTAAATGGTGACAATCACTTAGTTCAAGGTGCTGTGACTCAGATTAGAAAGGTAGCACCATGACTGGAGGAAACATAAAAGCTTAAAAAAAAACCATGAAAATGAGGAACCATCAGTATTTCCTCCCCTGTTTTCACTTCTCTTTTTGCTCAGGTGGATTCTGAGAGCATGGCAACATAAGATTCTTATTCTTGGGGGAAATGTTCTGCTACCAGTCACTCCACCAAAAACATCATGTGAGTAGCTTGTGATGCCCAGTGGCCATGGGCACAGCTGTGACCCTGTCCTGTGACCAGCTGACCTGAATGAGGCTCAGCTTGCCTGGTTTCAGTCAAATCACTGCCCCGGTTCCCTCCCAGTAGAGCAGGGAGTGTTATAAAAATTTGGCTGGCATAGAGATGCACACCTATAATCCCAGCACTCGGAAGATTGAGGCAGGAGGATTGCTGTGAATTCAAGGCCAGTTTGGGCTCCATAGTGAGTTCAAGTCTAGCTCAAATGTAGCGAGACCATGTCTCAGGAGAAAAAAATAGCAATCTCTCCTCTCCGAATTTAATACCATCAGCCTCAACTTTCCTCCCATCTCATTCTGCTGCCCCTCCCATATAGAATTCCTGCTCCTTAGCACACACACCCAGCTGCTTACCTGGGGCCTCCTCAGAAGCTCCTCCTTGCTGTCTCCCTGGGGGCCACCTTCCAAGGTGATCCAGTGGTAGGGGAGGTAGGGGATGGAGGACAGTCTTGATTTCAAAACCATCAGCATCATAAACAAGTTGATGCCTGAAACACTGGCTTCTCCATTACCCATTTCTTGTCCCATGTGTTCATGTCTCTCAAACCTCCTCCCCAGTCTCATCCCTTAAAAACAGGAAACCCAGCCAGAGCTGAGAATGAGTCCAGGCTTTTTGTCCCCAGTTTTGGTAGACAGGTTTAGCTTTTCTAGAGATGCAGAAACATCAGGATGTGTATATCCAGAGATTTATTTCAAGGAATTAGCTCATATGATTTTAGGGCCTGGCAACTCCAAAATCCACAGGGAGGCTGCAGACTGGAAACTGAGGCAGGAGCGAATCTTGCATCCTTCAGACAGAATTCCTTCTGCAAAAGCCTTAGTTTTGCTCCTTCAACTGATTGGACAAGGCCCACATTGTCATAGATGGTAACCTTTCTGTAATGTAGCCACATCAGCACAACAGCCTCATGACAATGTGTGTGTCAGATCACCGAGTGCCATGGCCTGGCCAAGCTGACCCAGACTGACTCCCATGCTCAGTTTGAAAGTTCCACGGACTAGAGAGGGACAGAAAATACCCAAGGGATGTTTTTCATGCCAAAGATCAATGCCAGATAGGAACATGAAATGAACACAGACTCATGAAATGAACACAGAGGACTTCAGTGTGGACAGCATATTTCAAATTGTGCATGCTCGGGGTGGGCTTTGCAGGTCAGATTAGAATAGTTTCTGTGGGATTGAGATGAAAAACAGAGTCCAAGAGGCAGGAAGTTTCTACTGTTTTTCTTTTCTCGATCAACAGACACTCTCAGAGGAAACAATGAACAAGTAAATGGGGAACTGTCTGCTAGAAGCCATATTTTGACACTGAGTGTTTAAATTAAAGCAGTCTCAGACTTATCTATTGTCTCATGTGTCCTGGCCAATTTCTGGAGGAACTGGCACCTTTCAGGATGTGCTCACTAGGAATACTAGGAAAACCCACTTGTTCCAGAAACTTTATTTTTTTATTTTGGCAGCCCATTCTAGACCTTAAGATTCTGAGACGCTCATTTTGAAAGATTAACTCCTTGAACTTGCTACAAGAAACCCCCTGAAGCTTTGCCCGCCCCCAGCAGGGTCCCCAGCTAGGTTTGGGGGTTTGTTCAGGGTTTTCCCAGTAGTGAGTCCTGGGAAGTCATTCTGCTTGCACGGAGTTCAGGAAGAAGGAGAGGGCAAACCAAAGACCATGAGATAGACGTATTTGAGGTTTTAAATTACATATTCCCTAAAAGCCGCATGTACTCAGGTAGGCTTTGGAAAAGTGTTTGGGCTATGGGGTTTCCAGCTGAATTGCTGCTGGGAGATGGTTCTGGTTGGAAGAGGTGGTTGCTGTGGGTGCAACCCAGGAGGTTATGTCTCCCTTTCCAGCTCTTATCTTGACTCTCGGCTCCCAAGGTCCCATGAATTGTGCAGCTTTTTCTCTTCTCTGCCCCAACGCCAAGCTGTTCTGCCCTGGAGCTGACCAACCAAGGACTACAACCATGAGCCAAAATAAATCTCTCCTCCTTACTGTGGCTCTCAGGTGTTTCCCCCCAGTGATGAGGAGAGTGACCACCAGAAGGGCCATCCGAAGGGCCATCGGCTGGAGGAAAGATGCTCTGGGGGCACCGCTGGTCCAAGACTGTGCCACCAACAAGGAAGCCCTAACATTTCCTTCACCTCAACACCCTGCTCTGAGCCTCACGAACCAGTTCTTCCCTCCAATTGCTGGACTCACCTCTACCCTGGCCGCCTGATGGTCTACCACACCGGAGGTGAATTGCTCTTCCTGATTTGACCAAGTTTCACCACAGAGTCCTGTGATCAGGACTCTGCTCAGTACTCGACACACCAAGATGGTGGCCTCCCTGTGCCTCCATCCCCAGGGCATCTGGGAAAGGGTTCTTCTGGGGGTTTACTGAGAAAGGCTAATTGCCTGGCCACCTTCAGATCAGATAGCAGCACTAAGATGATGCAGGCAAAGAAGGACACCAGACAGCCACATTCTCAGTAGGAAATGACAGGCTTGTTCAGTCTTTGGGATGTTTGCCCAGTGTCTCTGTCCCCAGCTGCTGGAGACAGGTCCAGGAAAGGTGAGCACGTGCAGGGTTCCTGTTGGGGCTGTCTTGTCTTCTTCAGCATGAAGCTCAACTCACTGCTGGGAACACCTGGGGCCCCCCACCTGGGTGATCTCGGCAGGGCTTTTGGGTTTGGTTTTCTTGCTCAATATCCTCATCGATCAAATGTGATGTTGTGTGTTGTCTGTCATGTCCAACTTCAGTGTGAACCATCCCTGTGTGTTTTCCTCTTTAGAAAAACATAGAAAGGATTCAGAAGGGTGGAAAAGGTGCCATTCACAGTCAAGGAGGTCACCCTGCACAGAGCTCTTCTCAACAGGCTAGGATCCCTGTCAAGCTCTGGGGCAAACTTCTACCTGGCAGAGAGGTACACGGCTGAGTCCACGCCAATACAAGGTGAGCTCATGGGATAAGGCACTGCATACATATTGGGCCACTATCTGTTACCTTCTCCTTTTGGAGGGCAAGTTTTCCCAGATAAAATCTTGCCATCTTCTGAAATAGAATTTGAGCAGGATGGGAGGGGCAAAAGCTAAGGGGCATAGAGCCCAGTGCTGTAGGAACTTCTGAGCACTCTGCAGCAGCCTGTAGTGGGCTTGGAGTCTGGGACAGTCACTGGTCCAAGACTGTGAAAGGTCCTGGAAAGGGTGGCAAAATCCTGCAGTCCCTGGAGGAAAGATACCTGGACTCTGTGGCTGGCTGGGAGAATTTGTCCCACAAGCCCTGTACCGGTCTCCTTTATTTACTACATGTGGCTGTCGGTGATGGGAAGATAGGTGGGGGCACCCTAATTGGTCTGGGACACCAATTCTGCTGGGATTTTATTCTTTGGAGTACTTTGTCTCCAAGTCTTTCTCACATGTGAACTTTACATACAGTGGATGAAGAGAAGGGTGCTTCATGGGGTCATCAACCTTGAGGGTCATCCTGGTGGGCAGAACAGGCAGTGAGAAAAGCGTTATGAGCAACAGCATCCTCTGCCGCCCAGCCTTTGATTCCAAGTGGGAGGCCCAGATGGTGACCAGTGCATGCCAGGAGGAGATGGGCACCTGGGACAGGAGGGCCATCCTGGTGATTAATACACCCCCTATCTTTGAGGCAAAGGTCTGGACTTAAGAGACAGACAGGGACATTGGAGACTGCTACCTGCGGTCTGCCCCAGGGCCCCATGTGACCCAGCTGGGCCGCTTCACGGCCCAGGACACCATGGCAGTGAGGAGGGTGAAGGAGGTCTTCTGGGCAGAGACCATGAGGCACATGGTCATCTTGTTCACCCACAAGGAAGACTTGGGGGCCGAGTCCCTGGATGAGTACGTGCAGAACACGGACAACCGTGGCCTGCAGGCCCTGGTGCGGGAGTGTGGGAGGAGGTACTGTGCCTTCAACAACCAGGCAGCCGGCCAGAATCAGCATGGCCAGCTGGCCGAGCTCAGGGCGGCGCTGGACAGGCTGGAGCGCGAGCTGGAAGGCTGCTTCCTCAGCAATGACCTCTTCCTGTGGGCCCACGTACTGCGGCAAGGTGGGGACGCTGCCGGCTAGGAAGACCACAGCCGCTACCTGGCCCAGGTGAGGCAGCAGGTGGAGAAGCAGAGGCGAGAGCTGAGAGAGGTGGAGAGCGGCTGCCTGTGCAGGGCATTCCTCCGAGCCCAGCACTGGATGACTTTACATGAGGAGATCTGTGCTGGTTGCATTTGGTGCACTCTAATTGTTCTCCTGATTTTTGTGATCATATTGATTCATGTGTGATGCTTTGCATCTTAGAGCATTTTCTATAGTCTGACCTCACATATGCACTGCTCCCAGTGTCACTGATTCAGAAATCACTTCTCAGCGGGCAGGCACTGCTTCTCTGGACCATGCCTTGGGCTCCCTTCTGCACAGGTTTCCAGGTATCTCTGCCCTGACCTCCGAACTCAGTGGGTCCGGGTGTGTTGCCTAGAACATCAACAGCTGTCTTGCCATTAATTTGATGTAGAAACAAAACTTCATAGCAAGACAGGAGGATGAAACAAAAACAAGCCCCCGAATCACCCAGCCCTACCCTATCGCTGCACTTTCAATTTTATGAGCCAATACATTTCCTAACTTTATAAACTACGTGAGTTTTGGCGTCTCTTATCTGTACCTAATGACAAGTGCTGCACATTCCTTTTTTCACCGTTTAAGTCCATCCGAACTTCCCTCTTTTCTTGCTTCTTTGAGGAAGAGGGAGGGAGCAAGTGTCTTTCCTGGTTCCCAAGATTTGGAAGAATCTCTCTAACTGTGGTGTTCCCTGTACTGCAGACTGAACTTGAATAAGGAGAAGTGCTTCCAGGAGTGGAAGGGAGGGCAGGAATGTGATGGCAAAAGGCAGGGCTCTCCCTGGCTTTCCACATCAGTTAACGGGAGGTCAAAGTGAGCTCAGGTCTACACACTCCAAGGAATCCCTTTGCCCAGGGTTGTCATGGAGGAAGCTCTAGGGGTGTTATGGCCCCTCCCTTGCTGCAAAATGGCCCAACTCTATTCCTCAGGAAGTCTGTAAGAGGGGTGTCCATGGGCATCTGGCAATGTTGTTGGTGGACTGCCTTTGGACCAGGACGGGGAGAAAGCCATCCGCATCCCTGCCAAGAGGCATCCCCTGTAGTCTGTTCCCAGTACCTATCCATTTGGGGCCAACTTGTGGGTGGTCAGAAAGATTTCCCTAGAGGAAGGATGACCCTCCCTCCTCCCGCCTGCTAGACAGGAACCTGGGGACATCATCGTGGCACATCTAGAGCCAAATGCTGAACCCTGCTCCTCTCAACCCTCATGTTCATCCTTGCTGTGAAGGCAGCTGCTTTTTAGGGGGCTTCCCCAATGCTGCCATCAGTGCCCACCTTGCTAGGATCCCCCTCTTAGCACCTCCGTGCCTGTCTTGCCCTCCATGCCCACTGCCAGCAGACACCCAGGTACTGATGACCAGTGTGGCATCCTTTCCTCTGAATGTGACCCCTGTCTTGAGCCTTATGTAATCCACTCCTATCTGCCTTCCTCCCTGCACTGCTGTGCCCATTGTGAGCGGAACCCCTGGTGTTATTTATCTCATGTTCCTGGCACCGTGCAGAGACCCTGGCACTCAGGATGCACGAGATAAATGTCTGTGACGTTGAGTAGAAGTTGGTTAAGGAGGAGATAGAGTCAGGTGGGAACAGGTGATGTGCCACAATGAGCTGTGGTTTCTTCCCATTTCACGATATCTATTGTACATTTTAGACCTTATCTATTATTTCCCACACAAGGGAGACAATACAAAAAGGGGAAAGGACACTAAGGGAAAAAGGGGAAAAGGCAAGTCAGTTATACTATTAGTGCCTTCCAAAGGAAGGTTTGTACTAACATCTCCCGAGATCTGCGCCATGTTGGAATTTAGGACGCTGTGAAACCAAGCAAGCAGCTCCTCTCCCTCGTAAGCAATAGTGAGCCTTCTGGTGCACGGGCTTAGAGTCAAACATCCCACTTCCTCTGTTCCCCTTTAGTAAATGGGAACCAGAGATCTGAGCATCTCTTGGGAGGCTGACCATATGCAATATAGCAAATAAGGGGAATTTCCTTCTACCATCTTTTTGAAGGCAAATATTTTTACTACTGTTTTGCTTTATTCTGATTAACGGTACTGTTCTATTCAATATTTTGTTTTGATAAGTTCTATAATGTTCTGTACTTCATTTTATTTTGCTATACGTGATTGAAAGAATAACTATTGTGAAGATAACAAGATATATTGTGATACCTATCACTGTTATTGGGGTAACCTGCTGTGAAGTTCTGTACCAATTTCACTACACTGTCTCAGTTGGCTTTATTCTGTCTTGTTCTGTTATATGTTACTATCTTCAAAATAATAAAAAATTTTTTTAAAAAAGATGCAGGATTCTGCAGGTTTTATGGGACACAGCCTCTTGTTCACGGTGACTTTGCTTGCACATCCAGTTTAGCAGTGGTGATGTCTACCAAGGAGTCCCCCAAACCAAAGCAGGCACTGCTTCTCTGGACCATGCCTTGGGCTGCCTGCTTTGCGGCCCTTGCCATCCCTGCTTTAGGGTTCCTTGCTCCGTATTTCCAGGCTGCTGAACCTGCTTTCCATATGGCAAGGTTGCTGTCACCCTTTGCTTTGCTGTCCCTCATGCCCAGGATCCTCGTCCCATCCTCTTTCTCACTCCCAAGTTCCAACTTTGTGCATCAGACCTCCCCATCTTCCTCTCAAGGGAACTGAGGGTTCCCTCCATTTACAGCCCATGACAAGGTCTGGAAAGAGTTTTTTAATAACATAAAAACTTCCACTCCCACTCCCAGCTTTGCAGACAGCATTTTTCTATTTATAGCATCACATCCACAGAAAGCAGGGGTTCAGGACCACACAGGTTTCTGGCCTTCCTTCTTGCAGGCCCTCAGAGGCCTCATGATGGTCAGTATCCAGCTAGCTTACTGTTAGTGCTCACCACTGAATAATGGATGAATTGACCGATGGATGGCAGTTCATGTTTGCAGTGCATGCTGACCACATTCCCTGGGGGAAATTGGCACACACAGAGTGCACCTTCATTTTTTTACATTTCCCCTTGGCCCATCCCCTACCACCATCTCTTGGTACCCTTCCCACTTGCAAAAGATTTACCTTTTGACTTCCTATTGCAGTGGTACCCCAGCTGACAAACTTGCTCCACGATTTGGGACAAGATGGCCATGTTTGCATTAGTGACCTGATGCAGAGTTTGCAAACAAAAAAAAATTTGCCCAAAGCTTCCATTTGTGAGCCAAATAGTTCAGAAATTAAAGTATTTGTGAACCAAGTATCACTGTATCTATATTTTAGTTTGCTTTTTTGCTTATACTTTGGGTTTCTTGTGTACCATAAACCATGGGATGTTTAGGCTTGTGGGTCTGATTTGTTTTGTGTAACATAATGGTCTTAAGGTGTATCCATTTTCATGCAAATGACCCAAGTTTATCCATCGTTAAGAGCACAGTAGTACTCTATTGTGTGTAGATATCACATTTTGTTTATCATAATTTTTTAACTAAACAAGAACATAAAAATTTTCCTTTGAGTTATTTACCTAAAAACACTTTCAGGAAAACATATAACATGTCTCATGTAAGAAAGCAAAACTTTACGAGATTACATAAAATGTAAAGCACCACACACATAAAGCCTGAGATAAGGAACCTGGAAAAAATACCTGAATGTACAAATTACCAGAAAATGTTTATTTCCCCTGAAGAAGAGTAAAGTTAATTAAAAGTACAAGAAAAATCAAACCACATATAATAAGACAGGCAGATATTACAACATGAGACCCTACCCAGTGCTGGGCTCTGAGGAACGCCCTGCACAGGCAGCAGCTCTCCATCTCTCTCAGCTCTCGCCTCTGCTTCTCCACCTGCTGCCTCACCTGGGCCAGGTAGCGGCTGTGGTCTTCCTGGCCGGCAGCGTCCCCACCTTGCCGCAGTACGTGGGCCCACAGGAAGAGGTCATTGCTGAGGAAGCAGCCTTCCAGCTCGCGCTCCAGCCTGTCCAGCACCGCCCTGAGCTCGGCCAGCTGGCCATGCTGCTCCTGGCCGGCTGCCTGGTTGTTGAAGGCACAGTACCTCCTCCCACACTCCCGCACCAGGGCCTGCAGGCCACGGTTGTCCGTGTTCTGCACATACTCATCCAGGGACTCGGCCCCCAAGTCTTCCTTGTGGGTGAACAAGATGACCATGTGCCTCATGGTTTCTGCCCCGAAGACCTCCTTTACCCTCCTCACTGCCATGGTGTCCTGGGCCGTGAAGCGGCCCAGCTGGGTCACCAGGAGCAGCACGTGGGGCCCTGGGGCAGACCGCAGGTAGCAGTCTCCGATGTCCCTGTACATCTCTTGAGTCCAGGCCTTTGCCTCAAAGATAGGGGGTGTATCAATCACCAGGATGGTCCTCCCGTCCCAGGTACCCATCTCCTCCTGGCATGCACTGGTCACCGTCTGGGCCTGCAGCCTGGAATCAAAGGCTGGGCGGCAGAGGATGCTGTTGCCTGTGGCGCTCTTTCCACTGCCTGTTCTGCCCACCAGGAGGATCCTCAATGGAGGCCGCACTGCAAACCTGTTGTCTTCCGGTCCCCCTGTGAAAAAAGAGTTTCGGTAAGTGAGTAAGATGCTAGGGCACAGATTTCCGTGGATGTCTTACAAAGCTGTGCACACGCTTTTCAGAATGGTTAGGTACCCTTCGGTGCATTTCAGTGTCTGAATGGGGCTTCAGATGGCTCTTGGATTATAAGGGGCCCCCCACTGAGGAGCCCATATCTGGACCCATAGCTAAGCAGTCCGAACTGCCACATTGAAGAGATTCTCTGTGTACCTCATCTGGATTACAGCCAATAGATTTTCTCTGTGCAAGAGAAGTGGTCACTGTGCCTTTCCCTGGTGATATTTAGGACCGTTCCACACTGACATTGCTAAATAAAGGAGAGATAGAAGGCAGGAAGTGAGACAAGAGAATGAGAAAGTGCGATCATCTCTCTCTCTCTCTCACCCACTTTCCCAGGACTCTGTGTAGACACGGGCACCCTAAGCCACAGGGCAGCGTGGTGACCCCTGCCAAGGACCCGCTGAACACCCTGGGTCTTTGCTCTCCGGGGTGAATGGTGCTTAAATTTAAGAAAAGGGAGCTTCAGAGTTAATGTAAGGACAAAGCTCTGGTGAAGACTGAAGAAGGGGAGAAGGATGTGTAGAAGGATGTGTGTGAGAGAGATCATTCGCTTGTTAGAGAAAAAAAGCACAGAAAATACAGCCAAAGTGGTGCTGAAGAGGAAAACACCAAGACAAGGGCTGAAATCTTCAACACCGAACGGAGGACAACCTGAAGTTTTCTAGAGTTTTTAATAGCCCACAGGAATGCTAAATACATTCTAGGCTGCTTGCAATCTATGATTTTATTCCTTCTACTCTGTGTTGGTTCTTTTCCTTTGTGGTGTCTCCGTAGGTAACTTCTGTTTCTCAGCTTAGAGGAGATGAGAAAAGAGAAGCTGTGCTCAGAATTCGGTCCCGCACCCTCTGCCTTTGCTTGCAGCTCCTTTCCCACCTCCCTCCATCCTGAGCACTGGGAACCCACACAGGCAGTGGTGTGATGTCAGGGGACCGGGCACGACAGCATTGGGAGGTAAGGAAAAACGCCAGCTGCCTTTTCCTGCTTCAGTCCAGAATAATTGCATTTCCATTCCTGTGTTTGATGTGGGCAGAGATGGGGTGCAGGACACAGAGAACCTCCCTGAGCTGGTGCTCTTTAGAACTGAGGCAAAATCTTTCTTACCTGCAGCCATGGCTCCGTATGTGGTCTTCTGCGAGCCCTCCATGCTCTTCTGGAACGGAAAAGGAAAGGAATGAAAGGCAGAGCCCAGGTGGGAACTGGTAGGGCCTCTGGATTCAGATACCTGGAACGATGACCCTAGACAAGACATTTTCACTGCTAATTCTCCAGTCTGGAGCAGATCTCACTCTTGGACATCTATAAATGCCTGCACAAATGAGGTGGTCCTGGAACATGCTACAGAGATGCCCCGAGGCTTTGGGTGCCAGCATGAAGCAAAGAAGGGGACACTGTGAAATAAATCAGCTGATTACTGCCCCCCAAACTGAAAGGCAATAATGAAGGTGGAGGGGAGCTGAGCGCCATCCCCTTGCATCTGTAGGAGCTGGTGGAGAGACGCTGTTGTTTCAGGATTAAAGAGAAAGAAGCAACATCCAAGCCAAATTCAAGACAAACTCATTTCCCACTCAGTTTTGAACCAGCGCCTTTCCTGCTCAGACCTGATGTGCTGGTCTCTCCCTCCTTACCGTATTTGTATCGCAGGGGATTTAACTGGAACCTAGCAGAAGCATTGGCAGCAATGTTTCAAATGTGGTACTGTGTTGTGTCATTCTTTGTGTCTTAGAAAAAGTCAAGCACAGGGCCGGGATATAGCTCAGTGGCACAGTGCCTGCCTGGTCATGAGTTTGATCCCTGGTACCAAAATAAAATCAATAAATAAAAATTTATAAAAGGCAAACACACCTCAAACATGATGAGCGTGTGTTGTACCACTGCCTGTGCTTTCTTTATTCAATTTTAAAGATGCTGTGGTTATGATGCACATTTTTTAAGTGTAGAAACACACAGAACAATAAAAAATGCTCACCATTTGCAGGGAACCTGGTTAAGTGTTTTGCATTTTATTGCAGCTATTCTGTTCTACTGAAAAATCAAAGCATTGCAGATGCAGTTTACTTTCTTCTTTTCTAATTTCCAGTCTCAGTCTCCTCCTTCTTGCTTTTTTAAGGCAGCTAACATTCTGAGGTGTTTTTCAGTCCTGGGGATCAAAAGTCCAGCATCACACACTTGCTAGGCCGCACCTCTATAGTCAGCTCTCTGGGGTTTTTATATATCAGTCTTACTTGTATATTTACCTCTACAAACTATACACCTGTGGTTTTTGTACTTTAAACTTTTACCCAAATGGCATTATTTATGTAACATTTTGTCTAATTCTGTATTAGCAAACACTTAGGCTGTTCAGGAATATTTGCCTGCTACTACAAATGATACTGCAAGATAACCCAAAACATACACAAACAATAGTTTATCTAGAATGTGTATTTCCTACCCAGCTGGATATGGCCAGCTCTGACTCCAAGTGGCTAACACCACTGGCAAAGTGCTGGCAAAGCTTTTTAGAGTTTTCGTTGACACACGCACCGAACAGGTTCACTACCAGTGACCTATCTGTACCATAACATGAGATTCCCCAAATTCTCACAGGCACTTGGGTGATGTTACAGTTAATGTGCATCATCCTTAGACATATAAACATGAAAGTTTTCATTGGTTTAAACTTCAATTGACCAAATGCCACATGATTAAAAAAACAGCTTCCATAGCTTATTTGCTATTGTGGTTGCTCTGCTATTTGTGTTTTGCACATTTTTCTGTTTAGTCAGTGGATTTTCTGTCCATTTTCACATTATCAGAACACATGAAGGCAGCTCCTTTCCTCCCTTTCTCCTCTTCCCTCCTCTCCTCTGCTCCTTTTCCCTCTGCTTTCCTTTCCTTAAACGCACACATCTCCTCACCACCACCTCCCCCACACAGTTTGGCCTTTGCTGAATCTTGCCAAAGTCTTTGATGCTTTTTCCACTTTAGATGACATTTTCTGAGACTGGAATCAATGCAATGATATGGTAAAATTGACAATGGCAGTGGCGATGACACTGATGATAAACTGCACAATTGTGACGAGCTTCTGTGCAGCCACTTGTGATTTGCACTCTGTTTTAATGTCCACTGCTTTAAAGGTACTAAATTCCCTGGGGTGTGATTAAGACTGCATTAAAAGTTCTATTGAAATCTCCTGACACAGCTTCAAATGAGCTGGCCAAGTTGCATACTTGCTGTGAGTGGAATCCCTAAAACAACTTCTTTCATACGTCAGCTCCCTTGACTTCACAGTGGGGAAGAGATGATTCCGGAGAAGTCAGGGAGCACCCTGGAGCACCACATCCGGTGCTGCCAACTTCCCATCAGGGCACCCACTGTTGCTGATGGGTGGGAACCTAATACCCAGCACAGAGAGTGGTACTGCAGGACCTGGAGTGTGGATTTTCCAATTAATAAATGAAAATAAATAAGATTATCAAAGATAAAATTGCAGGCAGCAGAAACTGCTCTGAATTGAATTATTTCAATTTGCGACAACCTTGTGTTTTTGACTTGGTTCTCTGTGTGACCCAAATATGCAATGGGCTGTCACAAAAAACAACAAAACTCAGTTACATTGGTCAGAGTGAGGCAAAAACAGTCCCCGGACCCACTTCTGAGCAGATCAGGCTGCAAGAGAGAAGACATATGTCCTATGAGGAAGAGATTCTCTGGCAGATGTTGACAAAGCATCCAGAGGTGAGTCTGGGAGGTTCCTGAAGGAGATGCTAAAGTCAGTCACAGACAAGGCACACAGAGGACTGAATAAAACATAGGCAAAGACTGCAGAACACATTGTGACCCTAACGGAATGTGAGAGTGGAGCAGACACAGTGGGGTGGCGTGGGGATTGAGAATGGAGGGAGATTCCTCCTCCAAAGAAAAACTCCTACCCATTTCCCCCACCATGGGACTCCGGCAGACAGAGTGCCTGCAGATGGGCAGCAGCAGCGTCCACCTTAGGAAGGAGGACAAAGCAAATAAGCATGGTGTACATCCTGGTGCAGAGGGTTAAATCCTGTGTGGTTCTCTCTTATGAGAGACCTAAACTATAAACAACTTACTTCTAAACTTTTTATTTTTATTAGTTCATCTCTGAAGTACATTCTGACTACATTCTTCATGGGGAGTTAGGACATGTGCATAACACATCTTCATTCTTTTTAGGTCTCTTTCTCCTCCCTTCTCTTCATCCCCAAGCATAATAAAGAGCAAGATAAAAGGTAGATGATGTTCCGGAAGCAGGGAGGTAAGCGTTGTGGAGAAAGGCAGGGAATCCAGGGATGGAGGAGATAGAAAGTGGAAGTAAAAAGGGTTGAGAGGGACGTGTGTATGTACCAACTCCCCATGAGCACTGTATCATGTATCACAAATATATACACAAATAAATTTTTTAAATGCACATTGATTTGAAATTTGCATAAGCCTGATTTTATCATGATGATAACCTTATTGACCCAAACACAAGAAAACAGAATCCCCTCTGCTTCTGTAGGAAAGATAAAAATATCTTATCTTTCTTTTTTATAAGTATGTCCTCCACCTGGCTGTCCACTCTGAGTCCCTGTATTTTGAGAATCAGGGTCTCCAGGCTGCAGGTTAGTCACTATAATTCCTTCCTAGGCTCCCTCCAAGTCTGACTGACAAAGAGATTCCTCACACTTGTGCTGAACAATAGGCTGCTGTTCAAGAGAGGTATGGGTTTAGTAAAGGTGATGGGTATTTAGGGAAGAATATGTGGATTTCAGAGAAAGAGGAAGTTCTCTGAGGGTCTCTTGTGGCACTCCAGGCTCCTGGTGGTGGGCAAGGTGAGAGCCCTCATTGCCCTGTGAAGCCCTAAAGTCCAGTCTTGTGCCCTTGGGAGGAGAAGCCACCAGGTTGAGCTGGGCTGTGAGAATGCAGGCAGGTGGCCTTGCAAAGATGTCCCCACAACCCTGGGGGAGCTGGAGAAAGCCCAGGCTCCCTGGAGAGTTCCACTGCGTTCAGGGGGATGAGCAGTTAGATGAGCTTTGTTCCTGAGAGACCCAAGAAGACTCAGTGGGCAGCAGTCACGCAGGGGAAAGCCCAATCTCCCAACCCCTGCTGTGTGACATGTGATGGAAGAATACAAAAAGTGTTTAAATTTTAAAAAGCATTGCTGCATTGCAGTAAAAGACACAGCCGTTAACTTCCCTCAAAAGACTCCTTCTTGTCCCAAACACAGATGGTTCTGGCCACCTCGGAGGCAGTGCTGGAGCAGTTCAACTCTATGTCAGGTGTCTTTGGTGTGCTGCATGGCTGCCTTGGGGTGTGGAATACATTCAAACTGTCCATGGCCTTTTTCTGGGAAAGAGCGCCAAGTTGAACAGTGCCAGATGCGGTGAAGACGGGTACATTGTAAGGTCTCTGCCAGCCTGACCCCGCTGGACAGCGCTCGGCAGCAGCATTCACGATATGTATATATGTATTTTATATATTTTTTTATCACACCTCCTAAAGACATTCAGGAAAGAGCACTTCCAGAACTGCTTCAGAAAATGGCAAGTACCGTGGAATAAGCATGTGTTAGAAGTAGGAAAGTACCTTTTCCGGGGGACTGATAGCACCCTGTCTTTGGCTCTAATACATTTTTAAACGTTAGCAGTCATCGTGCAGTTTGGCCACCTGCGTGTCCACTGTCGCCCTCTTCCACCGACCCCGACCCGAGAAGGACCCGAGCGAGAGCGTCTGCACCGCGGTTCTGCATCCTTACCCGGCACGCTGGGCTCCTCCTGGGTCCCGCCACCTGCTGCAGCTCGGCGGCGGCGCAGGCGAGGCCCCAGCAGAGGGAGAACCGGATGGGTGGGGGCGCTCGACCCGCCTGGCGCCCGCAGGGGGGGCTGCGGCTGCGGCCGGCGATCGCGCCACCTGCCGCCCGCCTCTGCCACAGCCACAGCAGGGCGGCCCCGGCCTCGCCCTTCCTTGGGGACCCACCCGCGAGCGCATTTGGAGACAGAGGCCGCGCTACGTTTGGGGACTGTGGGTTTATTGGGGTGGGGTTGAGGGAAGAAAAGACCGCTTCGCTTTTTTTTTTTTTTTTTTTTGTCCTCTTCCTTTTTATCGGTACCGGGGATCGAACTCATGACCGCCTGCTTGCAAGGCAGGTGCTTATGCCGCTGAGCTAAACCCAGCCCGGAGTGCTTTGCTTTTCTAAACGCAGCTTTAAGACGAGCAGGGCACGTAGAAGAATTATCTGCCAGACACAGACTGAAATCTTAATAGGGATTTAGATGGAGTTTGAGCGCAGAGATCTCTCTGCTCCTGTTTGCTGGCATTTGGATTTAGGCTTAGTATCCCACCCTGACTGTTTGTCTTAGATTTGATGCAACAAGACCGTTTCCAGCTACCCCAGAAAACCCCTCCAAGAAGGAAAGAAAGAAAACGGTTTCATTGTTGAATAAGCATTAAACCGGAATATGAGACATGTCACAGTCGACCTGCTAAGAGACTGCAGAGACAGAATAGGGCGGCATCTAGTCGCCTAGCCAAGGGGGTACAACTCTCCGAGGTGTGTCCCCAAGCCACAGCTAGTAATCAGGGCAAGGACTTGTTATTTCAACAGTTCATCTTACATCTTTATGTTCATGTTCCTTGTGTTGAGTTGGTGCATGCATGTAACACATTTTATTTTATTTTATTTTATTGGTAACTGGGATTGAACTCACAACTTCGCACTTGCCAGGCAGGTGTTTATGCCACTGAGCTAAATCCTTGGCCCCAACACAATTCAATTCCTTTTCTCATCCCCTTCCCTCCCCTTCCTCCCCTCTCCATCTCTTGACCTCCTTTCTATGTAAGAAAAATAGATCTCTCTATTTCCTATTATCTGCCTTTGTTTTAACTCTTTCAGGAAGATACCTAACAGCTGAATCAATGCAAGTTCGTCTTAAATTCACCTTGTAACAAACTTTGTTAGATAACTGTGTTTGTCCAGAGGAAAAATAAACCTTGTATGCTTATGGCAAGAAAAAGTTTTGCAAGGTGGGAGTGTAAAAAGTTAAGCTCCTAGCCAAAGTAAGTTCTTAGACACTACTGCTGGTGTTTGAGAGACACCCCTGATTTGAAATTCAAAGTGATGCCTCCAGGTGCTGGAGGAAGCCTGGGGGAAGGGTTGTCAAATGGCAAAAAGCTTTTTTTTTTTTTTTTTTTTTTTTTTTTTTATCTTAAAGGGGCAAAAGAAGAATTGACAATTACAAACTCTCTTCAGTGAAGTCTAAAAAACTCATATATACAGGATAGATGACTGACCTTTGAAAGTTTAATACTTTGGACGCCTTCTAAAGTGCTTCTCCAGTTTGGGTGGATTTTGATCTTTTACTTTTGTCTTGATTATCCTGTAGGACTAGTAAATTCCAAGTTGTAGCCACACTCCTACCTAAATTAAGTTGACTCCCATCATGGCAGTGGTCTGAAACCTATGACTAGTCAAATATCAAAATATGTCCATGAGATTTTGGAAGACTCAGTAATCTAAAGAATAAACCAAAAAGTGTTATGTTTATTTTTTTAATATGAATTCTATTGAGCAAAATTATTACAAACTCCATCTCATAGCTTTTGGTTATTTGGAGAATTTCAATCTTATTTTATAAAGACATTTCTTCACAGTACAACTTCCTCTTTGAGGTCCACATTTCTGTCTTCCTAAAATTCATGGAAAATTTAGTAAAACATTAGAGAAGTTACAAATGAAACCTCATGACCTGCTTTCTCTATAAGGGATGAAGCTCTTGTTACTGTTTTATAGCATTATTTCTACAGCTTTATTTCTTGTTCCTAGGTGTTTGGATATATATATGACATTAAATTATATTTTAAAAGGTAAAGTTAAGGGCCTTCCACATGTACTTATTGCTTTGCTTTGTTTTTTAAACCTAATGATTAGGAATTAGCAATATTTTAGAGAAAATGCATTTTTGGTTGTACTTTGTAACTATGCTTGCTAATCACATCCTGACTATTATGGGGTCCGTAATGTCCCAGGAGCTTCACACACTCGGAGGCAGACTCTTGGAAGGTGACTGAACTATGGGTGGCTACAGCTGATCTGCTGTTAGGAGCTGAGGCCTGGGGAGAGGCAGGTTACTGGGGTGTGACCTGGGAGGGTGTATATTCTTCCCTATGTCCTCCTGGGCCTCTCTGCTTTTTGTCTGCCATGGCATGAACAGATTCCCTCTACTGACACCATTCCATCACGTGCTTTCTATGTTTGGGCCTGCCAAACAGAGAGTGAGACTTCTCAGTGTAAGCCAAAATAAATCTTTCCTTTAAGTGGTGAACATTGAGTATTTTATCCCAGCAAGGAGAAAAAATGACTAAGATAGATTTTGTACCAGGATTAGGGTTGGTTCTTTGAATATTTCTGGCTATGTGGGTTAGAAGTCTTCGGAACTGGTTCATGGAAGGAGTTTGGAAAGCTTTAGTTGCTGGTTGAGAAGCCTTGAAATGCTATAATCAGAACTTGACGAGAGATTCTGGTCAGAGCTCACAAGATCAAAATGCTAATAAAAAGGAAAATGGTAAAGGATGGGCTTAAGGGATTTCAGTTGGGAACAAAAGACTTCATTGGCATTTGGACTTGAGACCATGAGTGTTATGTGCTGTTGGAAAGTTTTTCAACATTTTGCTCCCGTCCTGAGACTTTATGAGACTAATATTAGATGTGATAGAGTAATTAATCTGGCAGAGGAAATTTCAAGGCAATCAATCTACTTTCAGGTTGTGGCATGGGTACAGCTGTGGGCTTTTAACCAGTCCTTCATTGAGAAGCAAGAGCAAACAGCACAGCTGAGTAACTTTAAATGCTTTGCATTTCACTAGTATGGATGGTCCAGTAAAATTGGGGCTTCTAAAATTTTGGCGCAGGATAGGTTAGTTGCTGAAAAGATGAGCATTAAAAAGAAGGCAAGTACTTTGTATCAGGACAATGGGAAGTGTACCTTGAGGGTATTATGTGAAGCAGCAAGACCCTGTTCTTTACTCTACAAAAATTAAAGACTTCCCTTTGAAAAAATAGCCTCAAGGAACCCAGCTCTTCATTGGCCAACTAGGAAAGAGTTTGCTGGAGCTCAGCCATCCAGGTATTCTGAAGCCTCTGTATCCATAACCCAAGGAGGCCCTACTGCTGCTGGCAGCAGACCTTGCAGTCATTTACATGATCCTGATTTTATGGACATGCAAAACACGAAAGTCGTGGGTCGGGGGATCTTCCAGAGTTCAGAAAACATCTTGGGAGGCTAGGTGATGTGCCTCTGAGAAGGTAATTGTATGAAGCTGTGAGACTGAAGCCAAAGGTACAGTGGAGAACTTAGAGAGTACAGATGCCAGGAAGCTGGAAGTCAGTGGAGGAAAGCAGACAGAGAGCAAAGCCACCCCAAAAGAGAGGTCAGGAGATCTGCAACCACCTGTGTCATAGAAGAAGGACACCCTGTGGCTTCTGTTTGAGCTTGCCAAACATAGACTGAAACTTCTAAAATGTGAACCAAAATAAATCTTTCTTCCTTTAATTTGTGGGTGTTGGGTATTTTGTCCCAGCAACAATGAAAGTGACCAGGACACTGACTTTAAGTGATGCCTAGATTCCCAACTCAGATGCACTCAGTGCACTCAGATGCACATCCACAAATCTGCTTACTACAGTAATGATGTCTCAATTACCATATTGTGTTAATGAAATTTAACCTACAAGAGCTTTCATTCATGTTATTTTGTCACATGTGTAAACTATAAAGATTCATATTCATGTGTACATTTCAGTGAAAACCTTAGTCCCAAGTCTCTGAGCATCTCAGGGCATGTGCTCATCGCTCTGTGACCTTTGCTGTCCCTATCATGTGGGTGATGCCCCAACTTGGTCATTGTACCCACAAATGTCAAGCTTTCCTTTGATCCAGGTATATTTCACACGTTAAGGTCTACAGAGAATTCAAAACTCATAATATTTATTTTAAAAATCACATTTATATTTACAAGACAAAATTTTAATGACAACTCCAAAGTTATCAGTCACCTCAGTTTTGCAAGAGAGGAAAAATGCACTAGGATTATGAAAGTCTTCAGGAAGTTTAAAAATTAGACAAATTAATTTAATTACACATAGTTAAAAGTTGAAGCTCAAACACTTCAAAGTGAATTTTGAGCCTCGGCAAAGGTGATGCCCTGTTTTAAGTTTCCCATGTCTTCAAAACTCTGGGTGTGAAACTGCAGGATTCTTTTAGTAATGAAGTTTTATTTTCTTCTTCAGCACTTAAGTATTTGGTCCTTTTTTGCCAAGTTATTGAGACTTGTAAGATCGTGGCTATGCAGGATTCAGGTCACTGACGGCCTGGGGTGCGCGTCGGTGGAACAGCACATACACCAGGACGGCGACTCCCACGAAGATGCCCACACAGGATCTCCAGCAGATCCAGGGGTACTTGGGCCACCCCAACAGCCTAGCCAGCAGCCTGGCTCTGAGAGACCGGGACATGTAAACTGCCAGCTTATCTGCCACACGTGAGACCTGATCCTCCGGGCATGTCCCTTGCTGCGTGTGCATGAAGCTGTACACCTGGTTGGTGTAGGGCGCGCCCCCACGCTTGAGCACCAAGGCCTCAACCTTGTGCAGCAGCTCCTTCACCTGCGCCTCCAGCTCCTTACCAGTGGCCCGATTGTCCAAGGCGTAGGCTTGGCCACCACACTCGTTCACCATGTTCAGCAGAGCCTGGTTCTTCGTGTGGTGCAGGTAATCCTCCAGAGAGCCGCCAGCCAGGTCTTTCTTCCTGGTGAAGACAACGATGGTTTGCGCCATGACTTCCTCCCCGAACATCTCCTTCACCTTCCTCAGCGCCACCTGGTCCTGGCGAGTGTAGTGGCCCAGCTGGGTGACCAGGAGCAGTGCGTGTGGCCCGGGGGCAGACAGCAGGTAACAGCGCCCTCTCTCTGTGTACGCAGGGTCTGTCAGGTCAACTTCGGAGCTGAAAATGTCTGGGGTGTCGATGACAACCACGTGGCACCGGCCCCACTTCCGGCTGGCGGCCTCACAAGCCCTGGTCACGGTGGTGCTTGCAAGCCTGGACTGGAAGCGCTTGGTGCCCAAAATGCTGTTCCCAGTGGCGCTCTTGCCGGTGCCGGTTCTGCCCACCAGGATGAGCCTCAGCTGAGACTCCTGCAAGGACCTCGGGTCATGATCTGAACCTAGGATTGCAAATGTTACAATCTTACCAAGTGTAATGAGCAAATATGGTGTTTCAATTAAGAGTATTTATTACAGTAAAAGGTGTTGCTGGGAATCTCCGTCCTGGTTCTCCCTCACTTCAGGAATACCCATCCCAGCTCTCTTGCCACTTTCCGGAGCCTCTTTCTTGAATGTCTGCAGTTGTATTGTGTGGCTGTCTGGATGTCTGGGATAGAATCAAAACATCTACTTTGCACGGTCATCCTGACTTTGGGGAGAAGGCAGGAGTTACACTGTGCCACATCCAGGGGCTAAGGCATTCGAGAACACTTGGTAATGCTTTTACCAACGAGTCTGCCTTTCTGTTGGATGGCACCAGCTAGTGGCATTGGCTATATTTTTCATCACAGCTCATAGACACTCAGGAAAAGAACTTCCAAAGCGGCTTCAGAAAGACGCAAGAATCATGGAATAAAGGGGGAGCCTTCTGAAGAGGATTAATAGCAATGTGTCTTTTACTATGAGTTTTTTAGATAACCCTGAACAAGTGCTTGGTCAGCATTAAATCTCTTCTGCAAAATGAGATTAACACAGAGCTGTTTCTCATGGGATTCTTGATACTTTCCTTCCTTCCTTCCTTCCTTCCTTCCTTCCTTCCTTCCTTCCTTCCTTCTCCTTCTCCCATCTCTCTTAAACCTGTTCCCTAAGGAAGAATGTCTTTAACCTTCCTTCCTTGTTTTTTAACACAGCCTTCCTGTAAGTGATGCTCACTCTAGCACCTTATTTGATACCTTCTGTACTGAGCATCACTCAAATACTTCTTTTGGTACTTTCTGCATCCTTTTGCTACTTCCTGCATCCTCCCTGTGGAGACCAGAAAGGTTCATTACCCTCACTGTATCCTGGAGGAACCGCAGGACAGCTGAGTTAAAGAACATCTCACAAAAGCAGGTCCCAAGCTCCTGCTGTTTCCTGCCAGCCTTGATGCCCTGGATCTCTCTGTGTTTGGTCCTGAGTGAGCCCCACTCCCTCTCTCACCCTGGGAGGAGGATGTGTTGCAGAGATATGTTCTTACCATAGGCACTTTCTTTATCCCTTGCCATCTTCCGATTTCTCATCTTCCCTGAAAGAGACCCAGACATGTTTAATGCTTTTTCATGTGTGCATTCTTCCAAATAATCATAACATCTACACTGTCTAAAGGACTGGGGGTACCCCAAAGTGACCAGATGTGGCTCCTGCCTACAAGGGTCTGAGCATCATTTGTGTGTTTTGGAGGATGAGCAGGTGGTTAGAGAGAAAGCAGGTGCATGTTGTCAGTTATAGGAAAGTGTACTAATTCTTCTTGAGGGATAACAAGAGTTTTTGAAGATAACAGCATGATGAATTGGGGAGGACCTGGGACAAGAAAGAGTTCAGAGGCTTTGAGACTTGTCGTATTGCAACTCACCCCAAGGTTAGATTGCTTATGGGACCACAGAAATATCTTTTGCATTTGAATATGCAACTTGGCCAGAGTCCTGACTTTAGGTTGTAATTACACCATGAGGATATTTTGTGAGGTTGGATTTGTTGTTTCAGGGACTTTAGATGCAAATAAGTTATAACGTCAACCCCACACAATGGGTGGATTTAAATTAAAATTTTTCCAGTAGTCCAGGTGACGTGACACATGCCTGTATTTCCAGCACTTGGGAGACTGAGACAGGAGGACTGTCACGAGTTTAAGGCCAGCCTGGGCTACGTAGTGAGACCCTGTCTCAACACCTGTCCCCCAAAGATTTTCCAATAATGATAGGTCAATGATAGAACTATAGACTTTAGACTTTCTCCTGGGAATCAATGGCTGGGCAAGACTTAGGTAAATTCTGATGACTGGAAAATTTCCTCAGTGAGTTAGGGACCCATTCTAGGCTTGCTTGGCCTGGAAAACAAAAGGAAATTGTAACCATTCTTTTGGAAACTGGAGAACACATCTATTTCCCAAGCTGATCTCTGCCTCTGCTGTCTTCAAGCCAGAGCAATTAATTTCAGTGAACTTTCACCCAGCCAAACTTAGGACCCCAGGGTCCCCCCATAATTATAAATATGTGTAAGTATTTACTCTCACCTTGGGTTGCACTGTAAGTGATAGATTGGAGTTAACTCACTAGAATTCCAAAACCCCCCAGACTGCGACAAGGATGGGAAGGGGACTTCTATACTTCCTCCCCGTGACTGGAGATCACCCACATTTGTGTCTTGGTTCTTAATTGCACTTCACCATCGTTTCAAATTCTTCCTCTTTATATCTTCCACCCTGGTTACTGCAGGTGATGTGATTCTCCCCAGTTGGTACTATACATGAAGAAAAGCAGAGAGGTTGACCAAACAACTTGTCTGGCCAAGGGATTTTGGGGACAAGTTTACAAAGTGTTCAACCCAAAGCGAAAATTGTGCAGTCACCCCCGAGCCATCTCCCCACAGCTTTCATTGAAGTTCACCCCCAACTCCTATAACCTATAGGAGAGCAGAAGTGAAGCTGTAGTCACAAAATACAGAGCCAAGAGCAAGAATGCAGCTCAAGGACAAAGTCCTGATGAAGATGGAAATGAGAAGGGGGCTGGAGGGAACTCAGGTCGCTCAAAGAGCTTTCCACAGTTTGCAATGGATGTAGATTTTAAACAAATTTTAAGACAGAAGTAAGCCTAGCTGAAATTTGGGGTGATAAAAACTTCTTAATTGTTTAGGAGTATAAAATAGGTAGAACTGTAACTGATAATAACTTGAGATCTCAAAGTTCATCCAGTTCCTTGCCTTCCAAACCCACTGTTTTCTTACCACTTGAGTGTTCTGTCCAAATTCACATTTCTTGGGCCCATTTTTGGAGATTCAGATTCAATGACTGGGATGTTTCTGACAGTCTGTCCACAACTCCATGTTTGGAAGTCAGTTGTTTTTTAAATTCCAATGTACAGATGAGGCAACTGAGGTACCTCTGCAGATGGAGCAGGAAAAGCTCAAATTAGGGAGCAGGCATTTAAGGGACCTACAGGGACAGGGTTTGAAGAACCCTTTTCTAACTTGAGGTGTCTCCTGAGGGTCCTCTGCTGCAGGTGGGGAGAAGGAACTGAGATCATTTACTTGTACCCATACTTGTCACATTGGAATTGCCCCCCAAGGTTGGATTGCTTACAGGGACACAGAAATACCTTGCCTTTATGGATATGAAACTCAGGGAACGTTTAATGCCTTTTAAACTATCTGTTGTTCTTGGCAGTGTGCCCAGCACACATTTTTCTTCCTCCGTGTAGGAAGTGTGAGAAGAGGAAGGTCTTACTCCCTGCCCAGAACACGTGTGTTCAGGGAAGATGCTCCTAAGACTTCCTCTGAACTTGAAACCGGGACAGGGCATCTGTGAGATCTCAGAAGCAGGATCTTGTCAGGCATCTCCTCACCTGAACTACAACCTTTCTGGTCTCAGTGCCCCCACCCAGCTCCCAGCTGCCGGCTCCCAGGCTCCCACTCACCTTTTCTGGTGACATGCTCTGAAGTGGCTCTGAGAAGCCTTGACTTCCTACTTTCCCTTCTGCTGAGAGTGCTGGAGGCTCTTTGCCCCGAGAGCGCGAGAGAGCTTGCAGAGGAAGTCAGTGAGCCTCTTAGCTCAGGAACTCAGGGAGTGTCCACGATGACGACTTAGACAAAATCATTTGTATCCATTGTGCATTTGCAAGGCTTCTACATACTCCACCCACTGTGTCCAGACTGTGTGCGTTCCAATAAGCTCTGATTTCAAAAACCTGGAAAAGGAAGACTTTTGTGGACCCCTGAGAACTGATTTCATTTCTAGAACTGATTACTGCTAATCCTCATTTGCAGTTTGCTTTTCAGGGATTTTTTCCCCTCTGCAAAATAGGCACAGGAAGATTGTTGCTCCAGAACAAAGAACATGATAACTGATCTCAGTGACTGCCTGTTGGTTGGACATTCATGTGGCCATTGCCAGCCCAGGGCTACCAGAAGAATCTAGAAGTAGAGTCTCTCATTCTCTGAAAATGAAAGGCTCTGTATTGGAGAACCCAACGCAGAAGATATGTGGAGGAAAAAACATCCTTCCCTTTTCTTTAAAAAAAATTTTTTTTTTATTTTAAAGACAGTAAAATCAAACAAGGTACAACAGAGTGAAGTCAATCAAAACAAAACAATGAAAGGCATACAGGACTTCAAAACAAGATAATAGGAAATCAACAGTGGCTACCGGAATTCCCTACTCTTAAGACAATCCTATTAGGAGGCTTGTTTGTTCCTCCTGGTTGTTTTCACTGGTGTTAGTTATTTGGTCTTCTCTCAAGAGAATCATGAGGTCACCAAAAGAGTCAGTCATATTGTGGCAAGGTTACAAGCCTGACCCAAGACCTGCTTATATAACCTACCTATCATATAACCTAAGAAAAATGGGCACAAAAATTGAACAGAAACTTCAGAAAGAATATGCAAGAAGGGCCAAAGACCACATGTAAAGGAACCTAATATTTTTAGTCATCAGGGAAATTTCAGTTTAAATTAAAAGGATGTTAACACCAAGAATTTGGTAACCCAATGAGCTATTGACTTCATTATATATTTTAATTGTAGGGAAGTTAATATCATTAGTACTAATATGGCTTATTGGCAATTAATGAACTAATTTATTTTATAATCAGTGTAGATATACTTTGTTTAGTCTTATTTCATAAAACACTCGTATCTCAGGTATGAATTGTAAAAAGTCTTTTAATGATGATTGAAATAATTCCTTGATTTTTTCTTTTGATCTGTTATTAGTGTAAATTATGTTTGCTAATCTAGGTCATGTGGGTGTATTCCAGGGCATGCAGATTGTTGACATAGAGATAAGACAGAGATGAGGGAGATTAGTAGGGAACCTCCTGAGAATTAACCCTTGAGAGGGAAGGGAAGAACCCAGGACTAGGCAAAGAGAAGCTAGAGTGAGAGGTAGTCACAACAAAATGCTGACTCCATAGGGAACTGCAGAGTTTGAGTGGACCTTGGGAATGAAGGTGACTGGCTACTTCTGGAAAAGGCACATGACCTGAAGGCATTGTCCTTCAGAGGAAGGCAGTTTCTGGAGAGGGCTGACAGATACACAGTGACAATAAGCAGCTAGAAATGCTCCTGGTAGTGGGAGCTCCTGGCCATGGGAGGGATAGATCCTCTTTGGATACTGCTACCTTAGGAGTACACACTCACATATATTTCTCTGCTTCATCCTTGTAGCCTTTACATTTCTTCCTAGCCCGTGAAGACAGAAGGAACGTTTCCCCTGTTCTGCACCCAGCAAGTGCTGTGACTGGAGTCTCCAGTGATGTAGGTCAGCAGAGGGGAGGCAATAGGGAGGCAAAGGCCACAACTGAGTGAAGGAATGGGCTTTACTGATGCATTTTATTTGCAGGGTTCCAGGAAATTCTGGAAAACGGTTGAAGCCAAAATAGTAGACCATAAATATCTTAAGACCATATTGAGATATATTTGGCAATGGTTTTGTGGTTTACAACAGGGTGTTTATTTATAAAGCAGTGCTGCGTAGAAGGACGTTCTGTGATGATGGATGGAAATGCTCAGCATTTGCACGGCCCCATTTGACAGCCACAAGCAACTGAGTTATTCAGCATTTGCCACGGGGCTGATGTGATAGGAAAACTGAGTCTTACATTTATGTGCTTTTAGTTCATATAGTTAGATATTGAATGATGTGGCTGGTGGTTACCATTTGGACAGTGTAGTTACAGTGCATATTTTTAATAAGATGATATTAAAACACTGGGTTTGTTGACAGAGTGGGACACACAAGTAAAGATATGAGAAAGATATCAATGCACACTGAAGCAAATCTGGCTTGGCACACTAGAAAAAAGTTGTTTACGCTGCCTGGGAGCCTAGGGGATAGGATGTATGTGGGATATGTTGCAGTCATTTCTCATCACTTACAGCAGTTTAAAAAAATTTTTTGACTGGTACAACCACTGTGGAAATCAGTGTGAAGAATCCTTAAAAACCTAGGATTGGAATCGGGCGTGGTGGCTCACGCCTATAATCCCAGCACTGGGGAGGCTGAGGCAGGAGGATTATTGTGAGTTCAAGAGCAGCCTGGGCTACAAAGTGAGCCCAAGGCCAGCCTGAACTGCACAGAGAGACCATGTCTCAAAAAGACCCCCCCCCCAAAAAAAAAGAGAGAGAGAGAGAAAAAGAAAAAAGAAAGAAACCAACCTAGGATTGGAGGTCCCATTCTATCCAGCTATTCCCCTTCTAAGTATTTTCCCAGAAAAATTGCAAACCTCATGCCACAGCAATATATGTGCACCAATGTTTATAGCAGCAGTTTATAATAGCCATATCTTGGAAACAACCCAGACGCCCATCAACTGCAGAATGGATAAAAAAGATGTGGTATTTTTATAAAATGGAGTACTGATCAGCCATAAAGGAGGATAAAGTTGAGACTTTTATAGGTAAATGCAGGCAACTTGAGATAATACTCATAAGTGAAATAAATCAAACTCACATTTGTAAACATCGCATTGTCTTCTTAGTGTAAAAAAAACTGAAAGAGTAATATGATCCAAAATGTACAATAGATATTTTGATAATGAAAGGGAAAGAAAATGTTCAAAAGGAAAGAACAACTGGGATAGAGGAAAGAAGGAAATAAAGAAGGGTAAAGATTGTACATATATAAGTATACCTATGTGTGTATGGCTGTATATATATAAATATATATATATACACACAACGTAAATAACTATATTGCCAATCTCTATTAGTTCATCAAAAAGAACAGTTTGTGTTTTCATTGTTTGATCACCTTTTTCATGCCTGAATCTTGTAACCTGTTATCCCAGGGGAATAACAGTATGCAATGTATTAGTGTTAATTTCTTAGTTTTTTTTTGAAATTCTGTATCATTTCTATCCTTTTTTTTTTTAAAGATAAATTTTAAAAAATTCTTTTTGATGATACCAGGTATTGAAGTTAGGATATCATGCATGTCAAGGAGGTACTCTGCCACTGAGCTACATAATCTAGCCCTTAAACTTAAAAATTTTATTTTTATAGTTTTGAAATTATAGTTATTGGGGATCGGGTCATCTTGAGGTCAGAGGTTTGTGAAATGTGGATTCAAAAGCCTTCTCACTCATTGCTCATTGTGCTTTACATGAGCTGAATTCCATTTGATTTATTGGGGTCCTTTTCCACTTCTGGCTTCTCCCTTGTCTGCCCCTTAGTGCATGTAAAGAGAGAGACTGTGAGAGGAACCCTGGCCGGGACCTTTGAGGTGAGGCCACTATTTCTCAGCTCACCCTCTTTCCTTTGCTCCAATCTTGTCAAAAACCCCATTTCCTCTCCAAGAACTCTACATGCAAGGCTCTTTCATTCTCGCTTATCTTCTCTGAGCTCTTGTGGTTATGCTAAGTGTGTTACTGCTAAGTGAGAAAAATAACCGATTCAGTACACAAAGGGAAACCCACAAGACCCACGTTGCTAAGAAGACAAGACACATCCTGGGGCAGGGCCAGAGCTGTCGTGCCTGGTGTGATCAGAAGGAAGGGAGTGAAATTCCCCTCTGACAAAGCATGCCGCTGCCACCCACTGTCCTTGATCTAAATCATTCCTCTCTTATGAGTAAAAGTTTTCCATCACAACAGTGGCCAGCCACAGAGAAAATAACACCGGAAAGACTGAGAAGGAGGTCAAGGGAGCTTAATAAAGATCAAAGTGTCTTGGGTGAAGAATTAAGGATTCAGACTCTTAAATGGTGGCTTCTTCAGGACGGCTTCTCTGATGTGCCCTGTAGACCACTGCGGTTGGACATATGGCATCTTATAAATGATTAGCTCTTCAGGCCTAATACTACAGATCCTGGCTTGAATATCACCTATTTAAAATCCAGAGCTTAAATAGTGTCCAAGAAAATGAAAATAATTATATTCACAATAATTACAAAACGTACTGGGGAATAAATTTAATTAAGGAAATGAAAGACTTCTACAATGAAAATTACAAATTGATTAACTAAATTGAGAGAGAAACCAATACTGGAAAGCCTTCTTTCCAGTACTGATAGGTCGGTAGAATTTGTGTTGTTAAAACATATATACTATCTAAAGTAGTATACGAATTCAGAAAATCTCCATTAAACAGCTCCATCACACAGCTTCATAGAACTAGAAAAAAATTTTTAGTTCACATGGAGGCATAAAAATTCATCACCTATTTCATAGAATATGGTGTTATATAACCATTGTAATCTGAACAGAATGATATTGACATAAACCAGACAATGAAAGACCACAAAGTCTTCTGAAATAGACCCAAGCATCTACAGCCAACTGAAGTTTGACAAAGGAGGCAAAAGTATTCATTGGGAAAAAAGCCTCTTTAATAAACCATGCTGGGAAAATTAGAAATCCATATCCATTGGGATGAAACAACGAAGTTCTCAACATACTAGAAGAAATGTTAGGGGAAACACTTCAAAATCTTGATATAGACAGTAATTTTTTGGCTATGATCCCCAAAGCATAAGAAATAAACGCAAAACCTAACAGATGATTTTATACAGTGTAAGAAATTAACAGAGTGAAGAGACAAATCTCAGAATGCAAGAAAATATTTGAAATCTGTCAGAAAAAGAATTAATATTGATAATATATAAAAACTCAAAAAACTTAACAAAAAGAGATAATCCAAATAAAAATGCACAAGTGATCTTAGCAAACATTTCTCAGAAGAGTAGTATAATAGCAAACAAACATATGAAAAATAATATCTGTGGCTACCAGGGAAATGTAAAATAAACATAAAATGAGATATCGTTGTACTTCATTTATGATGACTACTATGGAAATATCAAAAAATAAAAAAAATGGCAAGCATCTAGAGAAAACCAAGTTCTTTTACACCACTGCTGCAAATATAAATTAGCACAATCATTATACAAAGCAATAATGAAGATTTTGCTA